CTGAAACCAATTACAGTGTGATTCATGATCCAGTGTGTGTGTGTGTGTGTGTGTGTGTGTGTGTGTGTGGTGGTAGGGGGCTGCGCATAAGGGGCTGTCCTGAGCTGCTAGAGCTGTGCATACAGTAGGTGTTCAGGCAGTGATTGGTAACTGGGCAGATGTGGGAGCTAATGCTTTAAACACCTATAGACTTTTAGCTTTTCAGAATACTGTGTACTCAACACAGCCACTAGCAAATCTGTCACTTCCTTGCCAGCCTGTTCTTTCCTGTCTTTCCCCTGTCAGCACCTCTCTCTGCTGAGCAGTCCATACTCTGATTCCTTCTTCAGGCTGCCAGCTCCTTACTGCTTTGTGAGTTCCACTCTAGAGAAATCTACTTCTATCAGCTACTTCCCCATCTCTGGGAAAAATAGCCAACACCTGCAACTGAAAGGAGGCGAGGATTGTTTGTTGGAGCTTGATTTTCAAAGGGTTCAGTCCGTGGTCGGTTGATTCAAGGCAAAATGGCACGGCAAAAGGGTTTGGTGAAGGAAGGCTGCTCACCTCATGGCAGCCAGGAAGCAGAGAAAGAAGGGAGGAACAAGAGACAGGAATATACCCTTCCTGGTCATGCACCCAGAGACCTACCTGCAACCAGCCTCCCACACACACACATGGCACATTCACCTACTGGACTCATCAACGGATTAATCCACTGATGTGTACAGCACTCCCATGTTCCAGCCAGTTAGCTTCCAAACACAGAAGCATTTGGGGGGACATTTTCCATCTAAATAGCACTACTATTCCACACTTCCTCCCGTCCTCCTTTCCCTCTAGCTGTCAGTGCTTTGCTCTAGTTCCTAGCTGCAGTATCCTAGGAAACCACTCTCCCACCTTCGGCCATTTCCCATTCTCTCCATGGCTGTTCTAGCAATGAGACACAGAGTAGGTCCTAAACAAATCTTCGCTGAGTAGCCGAGAGGTCCATGAATCTCCCTAAAATTTAATCATACTACTTCTTGGCTTTAAGTGCTTCAGGACCTCCCACTGTCTTTGGGACAAAATCCAAACCTGCCACTCAAGGTTCTTTGAGGCTCCCAGCACCACCTCCCACCTGAACCATTTGTATCCCAGGGCCCGGCCATCAAGAGGAATACCTGCCAGTGCTCCTGCAAGACATGTGTTAGGTGTAACGGCTGACTAAATTCTGGCTCTGGAGGCAGATGGAAAGTGGCTACAACCTGGAGGGGTCACCCTTGTCCATGCCACAGGTTCCTCATCTGTGCAATGGGGTTGATGGTATCATCACCTAGTAAGCTTGTTGTGTGGATTAGATGTGTGAATTCATGTTAAGCACTCCAGTCCATGCCCGGTACAAACACTCTCTCCATACTTGGTACCTTGCAATGATTGTGATAGTCATTATCGTATGCTGTTTCCTTTGACCTGCAATAGGCTCCTCCACCTTTGCCTGGTCAATTCTTCCCTATTCTTTCCACTTCAGTCCCCCAAATATGACCTTTCTGAAATTGGTTTTGGTAGCTAGCCGCGGACAGTTACAGACATAAGTGAGGATTCAGAATGTGTGGATTTAAATCCTGATTCTACTGGTACTGCTCTCCTCTAGTCTAACCTTACAAACTTGATTTCTTTATCTGTAAAATTAGGATAATAAAATAACAGTACCTTCCTCTTTAGAGTTGTCAGGAAAATATGTAGTTTGTAAAACCTATTTAACATCTACTGAAAGTTTCATTTATGTTTGGTCTTCTTTTTCTTAGCAGACTTTCTTACCTTACATCAAAAACTCACCATTATAATTATAATCCTTTTACTTGTTGCTCTTGGCCTCTGGACCACTCATTACTTAAGTTTAAAGATTAGGGTCTTTTTCATCATTATATCACAAGTGCTTGACATATCATTCAGTCAGTGGGACAGGGAAGAATCTAGCTATTTGGTCAATGAACGTGATCCATTGCACGAAGTCCTGTGACAGAGAGCTGTAATGGGAAGGGAAGATGTCATGCAGGAAGAGGCCTCAGAGGGAGGTGCTTTTCTTTTAGAAAATACTGAAGACTGAAGGTTTACTGGCATTACACTCCTTCACTTCGTACCAAGGAAATAGAAGAGGAAGCCTGCTCTCCAAGGGTGGGCCCTCAAATCCCAAGACATGACACGCTTTTTCGGTGCGCTTGACTCTATCACAGTGGCTCTCTGACAGCATTGTGAATTAATAGTTAATTAATTCTTGAAGGACAACACAAAGTCTTGGTTTGAAACATATGCTGATAACAGTGGCATGAATACTGCTACCATGGTGTATCACGTTAGCATTGTGATGTCAGCTAACTGCCAAATGCCTCAGAACTGACCCACTAGCTAGCAGTGAGCTGGCTCCAGCCTACCACTGTCAAACTTCCTGCTTCATTTTTTTCTTCCTCTAAAATGGAATCCTATAATGTGGCCACTCTGTCTCTGAGTGGTAACATGGGAAGAGGGTGTCAAGTGTGGAAATGCGGATGTTGTAAGCTTGTCTGCTCGCTCTTATTTTGAAATGCTTCCTGTCTATGGACTGTGTTGGTGTTAAGGCTGGCATCTGTGCCCACAGTGTCCTCTCAAAATGCAGCTGTCCGGGTTCTGCTCAGGGTATATTTTGTTTTACCCTCCCAAGCAGGACTATGCTTTTTGCAACAGACTGACTCAATTAGCCTTTCATTCCAGAGTCCATTTGCAAGTCAGTTCTGAGGCTGTTAAGCACGATGAGTCTGGTGGCATTAGCCTTGCACTGAAGGACAGTAATCCTCACTGCGGTGTTGTTGAGTTAATAGGCTGTTCTAGAAACTCCGAGAAACAGGAGATGCATCTCAGGGGGACGGGCAAGGCACGAGGGGCTTCCTAGTCAGAGATCTGCTCAGTCCAAATTGTTTGTGAAACTGGAACTCCAGCTGCCTGGACCACAGTTGCCCTTTGTGAAGTTAGAAGCCCAGCACCGCTAGATCATTAACTTTCATGAGCAGGAGAATTCTTCTGAAATTAACACTCCATCCAAGCTGGATGCCATCAGAGCCAGTTGAGTAAGCCTGAGCCACCTTTGGGGATTTCCTCCAAACAAAAATAAATCCTTCAGCCAGACTATAGAAAATAGCCAGGTTTTGTATCCTTTGGTGTATTCGGTTAAAATCAGAAAACACCAGTGAGGCGTGCACTGTGGGTAAGATCCAGGCCCATAGATGCAGTCACACACGAGCTCCATAGGGAAGATTTTGCCAGGCCACTTCGCTTCAGCACATGGCCCTGCTTGGGAGGTGTTACAGAGGGTCTTTCTGAGAAGTGTCAGGTGCTGTGTAAAGCAAATAAAGCAGGTCTTCCAGAGTCTGCCCCAGGCATTGACTGTGATGGGCCAAGCACCTAGAACATACAGAGGTCCCCAGATAGGCACAGGTTGGGAGGTGTAGGCATAGCTGGCTACAGAGTTGAAGGAGAGAACCACATGAACATCGTGCTCCTTGTGAAGAGCACTGTGAACTTAGATCATTTATCAAGCTTTTTAATGCCTCTTCTAGTTAAAAATATAGGGAATGGATATTGAAGGTGTTTTCTATAGACCTTTACAAAGCTTTGTGATTCCCCACACATCTCCCTCACTAAGCCAAGTTTGTTGCTATCATAAAGTATGCTAAGTAAATGCAATTTCTTGGGTGGAAAAAGAAAGAAGTAAAAAAAAATGGATATGTCCGCAGACAACTCAGGGGTGAGCTAAAGATAGAAGAAAACTGAGATAACGCCCCATTGTCTACCCATAATTGCCAAATAATTTAAATTCTCCTGAAGTCTATTGTGTTCTCCCATAGAAACAGAGCTGTTGTCTGCTGAGATGACCTCAGAGGTCACCCAGTTCTCAGTCAGGATTTCTCCAACAATGTCCTCTTCAGACTGAGAAACAGCCAACTGGCCACAGAGAGCTCCCTTCCTCCCCAGACCAGCATATCTGTGGCTTTTTCTCCACTTCTGGGTCTCCACAACCTCACCGCTAACCAGGGCTTCCGGATGGACTGCGTCAGCCCCGGGAGAGCTCCTAAAGCGCAGACAGAGCTGCCCTTTGACCAGCCACAAACCCACTACCCACAGCAAGCCTTACCCATCTTTCTCACCTTTCGCATTGGTTCTTCAAAGGCAGGCTCCTCAGTGCTCCTGGGCTGGGATAAATCACTCTCCCGGGCTGGAGGATGAGAGAAGACTTAGCAGGCAGAGATACACGTTCTTAAAGCCTGTAGGAATTATGGGAGCAGATGGGCTGTAGGATCCTATTTTGATGCCAGGGACATGTTTACGTATAAAGTAAATATTTTCCCACTGTGGATCTCTGGTGAGTGTGTGGAGAGGCATATTTCCTAAAGATGCAAATAAGTCTAGTCAGAAATAAATATTGAATAGAAACTTCAAAGCCTCTAGATTTCTTGAGTTAAAGGCCCTGAAGACTTCTCTCCAAATAAGCAGACACACACAGGTGGATGAGGGTTTGGAGAGGGAACAGTGGGGAAATTGTGTGAGAAAGGCTGCCAGCATTTTAATAGTTCATGTGCTATTTGTGTGTGAATTCAGAGCAAAGCATATCAACAAAGGAATAAAGAAAAGTTATGCCTATCCAGAGCCTTAGGATTTTTTTCTTCTAAATTTATTTTTTATTTTCAATTGACACATAATATGTTGTATATGTTTTTGCAAGACACATACACAATGTGCAGTGATCAGATCAGGTTCATTGGCATATTCCTCACTTCAGACTTGTATCATTTCCTTGTATTGCAGACGTTCAGAGTTCCTCTTTATGCGCTATTTGCTAACGTAATTAATTGTCAGCCATAGTTACCTTACTGTGTGATAGCATATTAGAAGTTATTTCTCTTTCCGGTTATACCAGTAGACCCATTAACCATCCTTTCTTCAGCACCCTCTGTCCAGCCCAGAAGCTTGGGATGTTTTAAGCACATTTCACCCTCTTGTTTCCATTGTAGATCTCGACTTGCAGATTTTTTTACCAACTGCCAGCCAGAGTCAAGGTCTGTCAGCAGCTGTCTGAAGGAGAACTACGCGGACTGCCTCCTGGCCTATTCGGGGCTGATTGGTAAGAGGCGGGAAGGCGGGATGGGAGAACAGTCTGGTTTACGAATACTCACACTCTTTCCTTGTAGCCTGAGGATGTCTGCACGGCGTAAAAGTCTCTCAGTAGTCTTCTGTGCTGGGGTTTTGACAATAAGCTCTTTAGGATTTGCCTGCTTAAAAAAATAATAAAAACGAGAATAATGATGCACAAAAGACAAAAGCAAGAAACAGGGATTGTTAAGGAGCAAGGAGACCAAAAGAGTGAAGATGAGTGAAGTCTCTCAGTTGGAGAACTGACCATGCAGAACAGAAGCAGGAAAAAATAAAGCCTGGTCATGGAAGAGGAGAGCAAGTCAAACAAAGTTAATTGAATTAGAGAACTTTAGAGAGAAGGAATTTGGAAGTCATCCCATCTGGGGAAATCAGAAAAGCTGTTTCCCAGAAATGGCCCATTGGAAATAAAAACGCTAAATACCAAGGTCCTTCTTGGCCATTTGCATTCTTGGTAATTCATCTCTCTGTGTGCAGGGGGATCCGTAGGCTAATGTTTCCGCCCTGGAAATACTGTGTCATAGCAAATGCAGTACTTCCTGTCTTTGCAAAAGTGTAGAGTCTGGGGAAACCATGATCTCAGCATTCAAGAGATCTGTGCAATTAAGCGAGGCACCAGTGTATGGAAGAGAACCAGCAAGAGGCACACTTGTGCCTTGGGAGAAGTGGGACCGGCAGGCGGAAAGATGGGTGTCATAGGAACCAGGGACAGCAGAAGCCTCTGTGTCAGGGCTCAGTTGCAGTTGGCATTTGAGAAGGAACATGCAGTGAAGGCTGGGGAAAGTGAGAGAAATCACAGTTGTCAGAGCACGATGGCACACTATGATGAGCTTCCCTGCCAGGTCTACGTTAGGATCACACAAGTCACCAGCAGGAAGAACCTCCCACCCAGCATGACAGCCCAGATTAAGCCCTTTGTCACCAGAATGTCTTTGGCAGGAGCCTTTAGGAAAACAATGGTGATATTTAATGCGGGTGTATTGTTGGTTGTGACTTTCTTGCAAGGGTACCTGTGATCCCTTGAGTACTGTCTTCCCCTGTCCTTATTAATGAGTGCACCCTTCTTACGTCAGTATTCAAGATCTGCGGTCATGCTTTCCTTTTCTTAACAAAGTTACTTACCAAATATGGAATTATAGGAACAACAAGAAACATGAAGCCACACTTACGTATAAAAAAAATTAAAAGAAAAATAACACCATAGAAACTCACAGAAAAATTTAAATATCCACAGCCCTACTCTCATAGCTAGTCACTGTTGATACTCCAGTCCGAAGCCTCCCAGGAGCACAAGCTCATTAACTCCTCTGTGAGTGGCCAAGGTGAGGTGCTGCCAACTCTGCTAGCAGTCTAGGCTTGGCAAACCCTTGCATGCCTGAGGAGGCTGGAAAGAAGGGAGAAAGAGGTAGAGGCAGCATGTTCCACAGGCCAACATTTATTTCGCTTTTGGGTCTGGATCTCTCCCTCCGTGCTAGTTCCTGTGTCATCGGAATCTGACTTATTTTTGCACAAAGCCTATTCCTACTTCTTCCGTATGTCAGGGGTCCCCTCTGGTGCCTGAAATACAATGGCCTTTACCTCCTCACTCAGTATTTGGGATGTCTATTATTTTGTCAGCGAAGTTAGAGCTCCCTTAGTATTGTAGCTTAAAGTTCTCATGCTGAGTTGTAATAGAATGTTACTCATTTCAAGTTAGAAAGGAATGTAAGGCAAAGACAATATACCCCCTTGACCCAGAGGAACTTAGAAAAATTGGTGTTTATGAACCAACTATATCCTGTGAATTACTGACCATCTATGACTTCTTACTTCTGCTGAAATGCCTACAAACAGAAGGCTTCTTGGCACTGGTGGGCGTTGCCTGGTGTGAGCCACCCGGGGAAGACATTTGGGCTGCATTAAGTATAAACACATTGTGTATTTCCCACATTTGAGAACCTACCGGGAAAGTCAAGAATACCGCAAAATGTAGCAGGAGGGACCACCCAGCATTTCCTTAAGGACTATGGAGGGTCCACAGACAATACCCTAGGAACCCTGGGCTCAGTGAAGTTCTAGCGTTTGTTTCCAATTCTTTCACAATTTAGAAGGCTATTTAGATCAGTTGAGAATCTGGTGAGCCGGAGCCTCGTTATAAATGTACACACTGTCAGGATGTGTGGGATCTGCCAGAGGCTCCTAAGCTTCCCTGTGTTACTCTGAAGAACCCGTTTGCTTTGGAGGAAAGTGGATTCAAAGCCCTAAAAGGATTTTTAAAATATATAGACCCAGTGCTATCTCTTTATGAAGATTAATGACATTTTCAAGAAAATTCAAGGGACTTGGCAACTTACGCATTCTAAGTTAATTCTCTCCTATTCCATGACATCCGTACCATTTGTGCAGGAGGAAAATATTGTAAATGCAACTCAAGGAGTTCCGTTACAATTTTTAAAGTAAATGTGTAAATTACTTTACGTGCTCAAGATAAATCATCAAGAAAATGCGCTGCTTAACATAATTTCCCACTCAGCAAACACAGTGTTTGTAATTATCCATGGCACATCCATTGTCAGAGGAACATTTATTTCTTCTCTGTGGAAAAGTCCGTATCATCACAGGAATTAAACGCCTTGTTTTCACTCGTAGGCACAGTCATGACCCCCAACTACATAGACTCCAGCAGCCTCAGTGTGGCCCCGTGGTGTGACTGCTTCAACAGTGGGAATGACCTGGAAGAGTGCCTGAAATTTTTGAATTTCTTCAAGGATAATAAATGTCTTAGTGAGTTAAAATTTTTTTTTTTAAAAAGGAGGAAGAAGCATGCAAACACGTTTTCTTTGACAAGCGTGAAGTGTACCTTGTTTTTTGTGTCCTCTGCCTCTCTCTCTCTCTCTGTCCCTCCCTCCCCCATCCTTCCCTTTTTCTGGCTTCAGTTCTTCTTGACCATGCTGCATGATGTAGCAGGCACCACATGAGTGATGAACTGGGTGCTCCCAAGATTATGAATCCAAAGACCCTAGAGAGAGCAAGAGATGCAAATGACCGACAGTGCGTTATGTGGGAAAGAACCCTTCCATCTGCGGATCAAATTTTGATCTTGGCAGAGAGTCCGTTCCCAAGGTTCTGAAAACCTGGGCAGAATATACAATGTGAGAGGTTCAGGCAAATTAGATGGAGATAGGCCTCCAAGGACCCTCCGGGAAAAATTAGAATGTTAACATCAATAGCCCCTTAGATTTTCAGCGTTGGCTCAGAGCAGAAGCAACAAATCTTGAGAGGAGGAAGCTGGAGACTCAGCCAGGAGACTTAGAATGTTAGTGATCTTGAGAGATGAGATAAGCAGCCCTGTGCGTGGACGGGATGGGGGGGGGGTGCGTCCTGCTTGGAAATGGAGTCGGTTATTGTTGCAGTGTCCTTGAGGCAGTTCAGATACATGTTTCCCAAAAGGATAGAGATAGAAAGAAATGCCCAAATGCGAACAATGGGCAGCTGCCAAACAGCTCCAAAAGCATGGTGCCAGGTCTCACATGCACCCTGCCGAGCATGCTCTAGGTGACAATCGGACTGGTGCTTGAAAATTTCACTCACTGTTGTGGTAGCCACTGTTGGTGGGATGCCTTGTGTGTCTTCAAACTCACACTGTAGTGTGTTTAATACACTTTATCTCATCTCCTGAACTCTGCACATGAATCTTAGGAGACACAGGTATTACTAAGTCTACCTTACAGTTGAGTAAAGTGCTAGTATTCACGTGGTTCATGTGTAGCAGAGTTTGGATTAAACTCCTGGTTCCTTGTGCTACCTCCTGTCTCCTGAAGGTCTTGCTCTTGCATGGTGCTGGTCTGTTGCACAAGAGCATAATTTTAATTATTAGAGAAAAAGTCTGACTTTCTGGTGGGAAGGGTGGATCCAATTTTTAGGAATCATGGTTCAGCCACTTTCCTGAGAGTCTTGTCCTCAAGTGATAATTTATCCATGATGCTTACGTTGTACGTGCAGAAGAGGTTTTGAATGTTACTCTAAAACCTGCACATTATTCAATTTGTAGAAAAGAGAAACTTCAGTCATTTGGTAACTAGATTATTTGAATAATGTTGCTGAAATCAGTTGTTCTGGTCCCCTTAGAAATAAAACAAGCTTTTGGTTTCTTTTAAGTGAAATTCAGATCCGCACAATTAGTCTCGACATTGGGCATGCCAAGGAATTTCAATTTTGTTTGGTATTGACATACAAATACACACACATACATACATCCTCGTCTCATATCTTGCACTCCTCTGGCAGAATGCAAGTTTTAATAAATCAATGACAGTAGAATCAGCACGCAAAAGAATTTCGCTCATACTGGCCAGAAAACTTTGCCCTCACAGAGACATTGAAGTTACTTCTGCTTAATAACATTTTGGTACAGAGTTGTCTGAAACCTTATTGCTAATGACTTTTCAATAAAAATAAATGCATTTGGCCTGCAACAGGGGCCAAACCCAGCCAGAATTTTTCAGTCATTCCGTTTGTACTTGGATTGTACTTTGGGCACAGAACTCCAAAGACACAGGGCTATAGATTTAGTCTCTTGTGAAAGGTATTAAACTAGGAACTCAGTTCTACTATGTTTGGATTGGGCCAAACCGCTCCAAATTCCCCTACCATGAACAACTGTAACCAGTTCTTTACTTCTAGCTTATGTGTGGGAAACAGTTATTTTTAAGTCGAACGCATGGCAGATGTAAGGGCAAGAGAGAAGAAAAGGCTGGAGGAGAAGTGAAATATCAGTTGCATCACTCAAGTCTTTACGCAGATGCTTCCTCCTCTGACCACTAAATACCAGCTTCTTGTTCCCACCCAGCTGCTCCTCCTGCTCCCTCTTGCTTCATTTTATTTCTGGGCATTTCGCACCATCTATGTGTTGGAGGTCTACTTATTTGCCTCTTTCATTGCTGTCATTGTTCAATACAGTATGCTAAGCACATGGAACAGTCAGTGGCTTGAATGAATGAGAGAGCAAGTGAACAACTGACTTCCCCAGCACAGGGCAAACATACTGGGAAATACATAGGTGGTTTTAATAAAGGGCAGGAGTCACTTGAATCCATGGTGGCTTAATAAGAAAAAAAGGAGAATTTTTGTTACTGCTGCCCTGGCTCATTTAAGAAAACTGGTCCCTATGTGCTCCTTTCCTGATATCCTCCGTACCAGTTAAGCCATGTAACATGGCTAGAAGCATGAAAAAAGCATTTAGATTAATTTGAAGCTGTTTCTCACAGCCCTCCAAAATGAAAAGTTGTAGAAAACAAGCTTCCAATTTGCTAAACTTAAAGGATAACAGTTTTAGAACAATATGTCACTTCTAAGGGGAATATCAGGTCCAAATTATTCTGTCTTTTATATATATAAAAAAAATGCCAACTAAGAGTTGTATATTAACAATTTGCACATTCAGGTCCCAAATGAAAGAGTTTGATTTCTTACACAGTGAATATGAAATAAAAAAATTCCTAAATCCAGGCCAAATCCCTGAAGACCTGATTAAAAACTGTTTTTTATTCATTTTGGGGAGGGAACAGCACACAACCAATTTACTCTTGCCATAAAAAAAATCTAATCCCATGAAATTGTAATAAGCTTTTAAAGTTTTACATTTTAAACTTTTCATTTAAACAGGGCTGCGCCTATCTAATTATGCAGATTTTGTTTGGAAGACTGGGAGTAGAAAAGGAAAAAATAATCTTACTTAAATGTTCACTAGATATTGATGAGGTTTAGGGGTAGTTTTTTTCTTTTAAAGAAACTGGGTACATTTTGCCTGCCAAATTAATGTGAATGCCAGTGAGTTGCTGCAGTCTTATTATTAGGGATGTATTAAGGAAAAAGGCACCAATTAATTTGCTTTAAAGTCTAGAATTTTGACAAAGCATCAAGATTTTCATGGGAAAAATGGAACAGCTACAATCCCAAGTAACAGGTTTGAGGCTGGGTTTCAGAGCGCTTGACTGATGAGTATTTCAGGCAGGCACCTTGCTCCGCACCTGACACATAAATAGGAACACAATAAATATTTGTTGCACTTGGAATATAGCTAAGTATCCAGCTCAGTGTTTAATGACTGAATTGATTTTTGAATGCCTGACCCAGAAGACTGATTCTCAGTGTGTGTAGACTGGATGGATGGATGGGTTTTGTTCAGAGAAGTCCAATCCTGTAATCAGAATTTCTAGTGTGCCTCTCGGACTGTGTGCATCTTGTTACATTTGTTGCTTGACTTTGAAATTGGATTCCCTCCTGTTTTACTGCAGAAAATGCAATTCAAGCCTTTGGCAATGGCTCTGATGTGACGGTGTGGCAGCCAGCCCTCCCGGTACAGACCACCACTGCCACCACCACCACAACCTTCCGGGGCCAGAACAGGCCCCTGGGGCCAGCAGGGTCTGAAAATGAAATCCCCACACATGTTTTGCCACCTTGTGCAAATTTACAGGTGAGAATTGGACTAAATTTCCTGTTGGAGCTCACTTCTGGGGGGAACTTGAATTCATTTTATGAAATGCACATAGAGATGGATGAGAAATGCTGCTCAATTTGAATCTGAAAATTGAATTTTAAACATAATGAATGGAGACTGTGATGTGTCATAAAATGAGGACAAAGATGGACTGTGGAACTCATCCTACCATTTTCTAGTGATATGGCTTTGGCCAAGGCACTTGTGTCCAGCTGTATTAAATGAGAGATCTGGACAGGTACATCCCCAAACTTTTTTTGGGGGTGATAGTGTTGGGTTGGCTATTTACTTATGGTATTGGTTTACATTCTCTGCAAAGCAGTATATTAAAAAGAAAGGAATCCTTGGGTTTGTCACTGTCATGGCCAATTAAACATAACATGTGTTGAATTGTCTCTGAAGGTAAACCAGAAAGGGCCACTAGTCAAGCGTTAGGTCACATGTGGAGTCCTGGACCGGTTGGTGCTTCAGGAAGCAAAGCAGCTGCTCTTCAGGTGTGGGAGGCACTGCCGCCCTCTCATGAACAGATTCCAGTGAAAGAATGGTGTTAATCCAGTTCCGTAAGGCAAAATCACAGCAACATATAAGCCGTGATTTCCTGCCTTGTTCAAAAGCAGAGTGTTTGTTCTGCCTTTTTAATGATTTATCAAGGTAGTGAGTATTAAACTATTTGGTGAGAAATTAGTTATCTGTATGTTCACAAACTTTCAGTACTTATTTTATCTCTTTGGGTATCATCCTCCTGGCGGCAGCAGGAGAAGAGCTACTTCCATGATACTCTAGCCTCAGAGAGGTGGACTTCTGTTCAAGTGTGCAAAGTTTGTGGATCACAAAAGCAGCACTGGGAATCCAGGAGCCTCATTCTTTTCATCCTTCTGTGTATTTTTGTGTGGCTGCATGGTGACTTCTGTCTTATACTGTGCGTGGGAAGAGAACACTCTGCAATCCATGTGTCAGGCACTGAGAGGCAGCCTCACACTTAGTGCAATACTTGCCCACCTTCCTCACCAACAGCTGGAATTCTCAGAGGTCTTCCTTTGCCAAATACCATCTTGCCCAACAAGCTATTTGTTCCCTAGAAAGTATCAGGGCAGTTCTTCTACTTTAGTGAGTTGTTCGATATTTCCTCACTTTCAGCACTCCCTCTCTTATTAGATATCCTACATGCCCTTTACCTAAGCTTTGGTGTCTGCTCTGAGTCATCCTGCTCCCTATCCCAACAATAGTCTCAGAGACACACAAAAAGTAAAGAGAAGGCAGATGTGGAAACCACATAGCCCAGGGTCAACCAGATGTTCTTCAGGCTTCTACAACATTTCCTAAGTCTTTACCACCTCCAAAGCATGGGGCAGAGTGCCAGAGCTGAGAGGTAGCTTGGAGAATAATCTTCTACCCCTTCACTCCTCCACCCTCCAGCAAGACCCTAAGTTTTACAGAAAGGAAATGACTTGTACAAATTTCCCCAGCCAGGCAAAGGTGGACCTAGAGTTAAGCAAAGGACACGGTCTTTTATTCATCTCTAACTAGGGCTCAGGGCCCCCTTTCTCCCAGACCAATCTTTGTTTTCTTTAGATGCCTTAGGATTCTAGTGTCATCAAAGACAATGGCCAGATGAGGAATAAACCTTGTCCTCGTAAGGTGGTAAATGAGGGCCAGTGGTGATTTCTGACCAGCAAGAATGGTGAGCTCTGGCTGATACAGAGCCAGCATCTGTTCTGCACATGTCTAGGTGCACGGAGGGTGACTACGGAGACCATCTTTAGCTTGCCTGTTAAATCCCTGCTTCACTTTGGAAACTTCAGGAAGATGAGCATTCAAAACCTAAATGAAAAATTGACTTCTCGGTGAATGAAGAATAGTAAGCAGGATGCAGCTTGTCCATACAGGGTCTGACTCTGGCTTTGCTGCTAGAATTGAGAGGATTAAATGGGACAGAGTGAATGCTCCTGAATGACACTTTTAGAATGTCCCATGTGATGCCTGATCCCCACATGGTTCCCTGACAAAGACTGGTGGTGTTGCTGTGCCCCGCTCGGGTGGGCTTCGGGGGTGTTCACAATGGTATAAGTTAGTGCTAACAGGTGTATGGTGTGTTTTATTGTTTAAAACATCTGAAATACTTTCTGCCCTTCATTCCTGTCTTCAGCTCTATGAGTGAAGTGTGACAAATGTCCTTCCCTTGTACAAATGAGGCAACAGAGGCAGAGAGAGCTGGTGATTTAGCCAAAGTCACACACTATTTCATGACAGTCTCTGCACTTTTACCTTGTCCTATGACTTTTGTCTTTGAGTTAGGACAGACAGTAAGGAAGAAGAATAGAAAAGGACAGACAGTAAGGAAGAAGAATAGAAAAGGAAGAAAAGAGAAGCCCGCTTTGAAAAAACCCTGTGCCCTAGCTCTTTCTGAAGGCCAGTGGTATGGATGAAGAAGGGAAATACAAAGCTCATCCTCTACACTATATGCCAATTCATCTTGTCAGTTTGCCTAGATTTAGAGACCCCTGGAGAGTTGATTGAATCACGGGAGCACTATAATTATGCATGGATTAATCCACTGATGTACATAGCAGAATTGGCTATAGGAGGCGGAGCCCATTTGGAGGAGTGAGTCACAGGGGTATGCCTTTGGAAAATACATCTCTTATTGGCACCCTTCCCTGTGCTCTGCTTATGGCCACAAAAATGAGCAACTTCATTCCATCGTGCTATTCCTCTATGACTTTCCTGCTTCAAAGCCAGCCAACCATGGACTGGAACCTCTGAAACCAGTAGTCAAATTAAAACTCTTCTCCTTTAAGCTGCAACTGTCAGGTATTTTGTCTCAGTAATAGGGAAGCTAATATACATTGGGTTTCTTCATGCCTCAGGTACAGGAAACATACGGGGGAAGTCTTAAAGTTTGTCAGTAAAACTTTGTGCAACTTGATGACTTTTTAGAGTGACCCATGGGAAAATGGTTGAAAGGATCGTTTGAGGCCAGAGGATCTGAAGGTAACAAATTCAGGGATTTACCCTGAGAATGTGGTCCCTCTGGCTGATTGAGGATTCTTGTTCTATGCAGAACTCCCAGGGGGCTCATTCTCCAAATTTGCCCTTCTATTGCCTGCCTTGCTGTCTTAGATGAAGTACCACTTGCCAGGGATCCTGGAAATATCTTAGAATGGCGTTTGTCCCAGCTGCCTGTGTCATGACTAGGAATAGAACTGACTTAAACCAGCTTGAGATCCATTGGTAACAGATTTGGAGACAATCAACAGTCTTTGGCAGCTCTAAAATTCACTTCCCAAGAGAAGTGCCCTCTCTTAATGTTTTAAAATATGCAATAATAGAAGAAAACTCTCAGGGACTGGAGTATCTATCTTAACATTTGAGATAGATTTCCCCCTTGGAAAGGAAGACATGAGAATAAACGTTCTTGAAAGTGTGTTATTGTCAATACACCTAATGTCAATACACCTACATGTTATTGTCAATAAGCCTAAGACTGTTCTACACGGGACTAGGTAGCTTTGGGTGTGGTGATCAGGGGCTCATCGGGGACTCCTGGGAAAGGCTCTGCTCTAAAAAAGGAAAGTTGATGGATTAGTATGAAATGTCATGGAAATGTCCAAGTGCTAATCCCCCGAGGTGATAAAATACTGGGTTTTGGGTAACCGACCAAGCTGCCATGTCAGGATTAATTGGCAGTCATACTAGTAACAAGCATGACGCAAGCTGTGCTATTGTTGGCATATTCCTTTGACTTGTACAAAGTGGTCACATGAAAAACAAAGAGACCTCAATAATTCTACCAATTATTTCATCATCTATACACTTGAGTGGTCTGCTAACTGGAAAAGCTCAAGATACTTAAACCAAATGGACTGTACTTGTTGATTACTTAAAGAAAATATCATTGGAGATTAAGTCAGTGTTAGGAAAATGTGTATTTTGCATCACTGTACCCTGCTTAGCCCTTGTGACTTACAGTGAAGACTTCTGAAATGTGGTATTTACAGACCTTTGATTTTTCATATTTAGATAAATTACATTTGTCCTTTTGTATCTGTAGGGAACTTGTTCTGGGATCCTACAAGGATACCAAAATTCATGGATGTTCAAGTGCCTTATATAAAATGACATAATATTTGCATGTAACATAGTGCATGTTCTTATATTTTAAAATCATTTATAAATTACTTATATAAATCATCATTATGCTGTATTGTTTGGGCCATAGTGACAAAATAAAAGTCTTTATCCATTCAGCTCAGACACAGGTTTTTTTGCTGATAATTTTGATCCAGAGTTGGTTGAACCCTCAGAACTTACGGAGACAGAGGACTGGCTATAGTGGAGGTTGGGTGCTGTGGCCTTGAGACTAAGCTAAGAACTGCTAAGTTTCACTCCCTCTTCCTCTTTTACTGCCTTCCCTCTGAAAGTGGAGTGACAGGTCCTGTGGAGATGCAGAACCAGGGCCAGCAGGATCGCTGGTGGACAGCTGCGGGAAGTTGGCAGAAGCTGCAGTGAACAGCATCAGCCACAAAGTTAGTTTTTTGATGAGCCAAATAAAACGCATCTGTGAGTCTGTGAGTGTCCCTGGGCGAGACATGGTAGGCCAGCGGTGGTACGTCCCAGGTTTAGGACCTCTTCCAGGTTTAGGTTCCCTCCCCTCATCCTAATGGAATTTTTGAGGCAGCATTGTACAAAGACACCAGCAGAGCAACTGCTTAGTTGTGAACACGGCTTGCCCATGGTGGACATTCTTCATAAGAATGCTGCCTGCCTAAATCAGCAGTGCTGAGGGCAGCTCTTCTGCCTGCCTTGCACGTTAGCCCCACCAGACACATCATCTTCTCTGCTGGCGAGACCACAGTAGCCTAAAGGATTTGCAGCAGAAACATTACGGGCTCCTCTGTTCACTGGGGCGGAGGTGGGGTGCAGTAGACGCTGATGTCTGCCTGGAGCCGAGAACCTGCAGCATCATCGGCTCTCAG